CGGAAGATCACTTGCAAAGTCGTAAAAACTGTTTATATAAACTATGTAAATTAGCTGTAAGCCACGAAGGACGAGATCCGACGTAAAGCAACAACGATCGACTAATTCGTAACTTGAAATAAAAATAAGAAAACGTAACGTAATAGAAATGAGATGAAGATTTAAAGATGAATACTTAAATTAAACTTAAGAAAGAAATTACAACTACAAAGATCGGTTCTTGAAATATCAAATAACAAGAAACGAAAACTTAGAACCGAAGGTGATGTTCTTGAGAGTAGCCAACACAAGATTATCATAAAGTCTAGAAAAGCACATAAGATGGTTAAGTGACTAAATAGTTTTTGTTGGTGAAAAAAGTGTGAATTGGTGAATTAAAACAAAGCTTAAGGCATGTATTTATAGTCCAAGGAAGGTCCCTAAGTGGGTGCCAACTAATAAGACAAAAAGCCTCTTCAAACTGGGCTTTGACCAAGCCTAAGGCTGTTGACCACACCTCCCTACTGGATCAGCCCAAAAATCCACGGCCCAAGCAGTTTTCCAGCTCTCGGACAGGTCCTATAGGACCTTGCCACTCCTGGTCCTGTAGGACTGCTGCAGGACTGGGCCCAAAAATGCTCAAAAACCTGCAAAAACCGGGAATTAACATTAGATATACTATATTACTACTAATATATGAAAADGGCATAAAAAGACTCAATTAGGACACTAATGGACAAATAAAACAAAGGAAAATGGTTAAGAAAATTATGTAATAAGGTTAATAAATTAACACTTATCACTTATCAGCTAGAACTACGGAAAGAGCTCAGTCTAATTCACAGCACCTTTCATGTGTCAAATCTACACAAGTGTTTGGCCGATCCAATTGTAGCAATACCACTTCCAGAGATTAAACTGGACAGTAAATTGAATTTTGTGGAAACACCAGAAGCTGTGACGGACAGAAAGATCAGGGTGTTAAGAAACAAAGAAATCAGTTTGGTAAAGGTACATTGGCATTATCACAAGGGTTCAGAAGCTACATAGGAATTAGAATCGGACATGAGAACCTTATCCCCTTGGCTATTTGAATAAATGAATTCCGGGATGAAATTCTTTTGAGTGGGAGATAATCTGATAACCGGGTTTCAGACAACCTGGGTCGCGGTAACCTTTATGTGATTATTTTGTGAAATACATGTTGGCATGCATGTTATTTAATTAAATGCATGGATAGTATGTCTATATATGAAAAGATGCTACTGTTCATACATGCATAGGTGTTTACATATGTGCACATAAATTGAATTATATTTTTGGTTGGGTAAAAGGGGCTTAGCCGGTTTTACCATTATTATATTATAAAAAAAGGTAACCTTCATGGTTAAGAAATGAGTTTTAAAATATTAAAACCCCCCGCCCAAAGAGTTTTATATGAATACATCTACCACCTTCATGTTTACATATGTTATGTGATTTGTTTTCCTATGTGTATAGCTATATGAAGATCAATGGATGTGTTTTGGAAATTAGATGTTATGTAGTACAAGAGCATGTATTTTGGAATTTTTGGGTTGTGTATTTTGTATGTAGATTCTTGTATTTTGGTCCTTTGTAGGGATTAAACATGTATTCTTTGTATGAATTATATGTTATATGCAATGTGGAAGTTGGGGTGTTACACGAAGTATTTTATGTTTATGTCTTTCAGTTCCAATGATCATCATTGAGTCTATTCAGTGATTACTAAGAACATGTAATGTAAATCCATCAGCGACAGCGATACTTCAAGAAGACAAAACTCACACCAAAGAACCTTCAGCAAAAGTCGAATACTGAAACTAAAGATTAGAGACTGGCGAGTACGTTATCTGAATCGGTTTTCAGTGATTACAACCTGGTCTACACATGTGTGAAGACTGCCCAAGCCTCAGTGAATGCTGAAGAGACTTTCAGGTTATTCCAGCATTCAGCGATCAAAAGAAGCTTGTTGAGCACAATTCCTTTTGTCTTGTCCTTATACACACAAAGGACAAACCCATACCCTTTTTAGAGTATAGTACGGTACGGAGCCGATTAGTTGATTCTACTACCCACCAACTTTATGAAAGGATGTCTGCTCATGAATAGACTTTTGTACTATTCACTATAGCAAAGGACAAGTCTTTTTCTAAAGGCTTGACACGTGTTCAAACCCTACTACATTGCATTAAATGTGCATTTAATGCAATAGGTATAAATAGATGTGTTCTATCTCTATGCAAAGATACTCTAATACTCACTCTTGAACCCTAACTTACGTTCATAAGTAAAATAACACACATCTAAGAACACAATACGCTTATCTTCAAAAGCAAGTTAGAATCCATTTTTGTATTCTAAATAGTTCTTACCCAGAAAGAACTTGCATCCTTCTAAGTCTTTTACAGCAAATCCTTTCTCTATTTGTTAAGAGCTAGTGTGTAACTTAGATTGTTTAGATAGGTTATTTTTACATTATCTTTCCGCAAACAATCTTGTAAAATATGTATTGATCTTTCTTTATCAATATATATTTTAAATTTAAAAAGTTTATTGTGTTTGTATTCACCTCCCCCCCTTTTACAAACTGTTATACACATCTTGTAGACCCTAACGGGACCAACAGTTATGTTATATGTCTTCAAAACAATAGTTCAGACATTTGGTATTAAAGTCTGTAGATTAGACTTTTATGTCTGAAGAATAGAAATCCAAAAATGAGACTCATATGTTTGGAAAAGAACATTTTAGACTTTTGCTCATTTAAGTTTGTGGAAAAAGTCTGTAGTGATCAGACTTCTAAGTCTGGGGAATAGAAATCCAGACTTTTGCTTATTTAAGTCTTTGAAAAAAGTATGTAGAGATCAGACTTCTATGTTTGAAAAAGAAGATTGCATAGCTCAGGCTTGTACATTGATCATTATCATAACAAAAGAACAGTCATAATTGAGATTTATAATCCAACAAAATAACTCTCGGAAACAACATTTCAAATTTTTGCTCATTTCAGTGTGGGAAAAGTCTGTAAAGATCAGACTTATAAGTCTAAGGAATAGAAATCCAGACTTCTGCTTATTTAAGTCCTTGAAAAAAGTCTGTAGAAATCAGACTTCTATGTTTGGAAAAGAAGATTGCATAGCTCAGGCTTGTACATTGATACTGAATAACTCTAGGAAACAACATTTTAGATTTTTGCTCATTTAAGTGTGGGAAAAGTCTGTAAAGATCAGACTTATAAGTCTGAGGAATAGAAATCCAGACTTCTGCTTATTTAAGTCCTTGAATAAAGTCTGTAGAAATCAGACTTCTATGTTTGGAAAAGAAGACTGCATAGCTCAGGCTTGTACATTGATCATTATCATAACAAAGGAACAACCATAATTGAGACTTATAATCCAACGAAATAACTCTATAAAACAACATTTCAGACTTTTGCTCATCTAAGTGTGGAAAAAGTCTGTAGAGATCAGACTTATAAGTCTGAGGAATGGAAATCCAGACTTTTACTTATTTACGTCTTTTAAAAGAAATCCCTTTTCGTACGGAAATCAGTTATGTTTACAAGGGCAGATGTCAATCAAACAGGCCCATTTGAACCAGTAATGTAAATCGTGTCTACATACATGTTTAGGCGGGAAATCCTTATAACCGTCGCATAATAAGACGACATGTGACAGCCAAGTTACTTATCTATACTTATAATAAATAAGTAACTTGGGTGATACGTGTCATCTTCTGGTGAGGCGGTTTTCTTGATTTCCCGCTTAAACACGTATCTAGACACAATTTACATTAGTGGTTCAATTAGACTCATTTGAATGTATCTAGACACAATTTACATTAACAGTTCAATTATACCCATTTGATTGATCACTACTAAAAAATGTTGTTTTTTCGACAGCAAAATCCGTCGGAAATCTATAGGAAAAACAACTATCCGACGGATATTGCCGTCGGAAAAACCCCCGCCGCTAGATGCAAATTCCGTCTGAAATCTGTCGGTAATGTTCAAAGAAGTTTTATTTGTATTTTTTTCCTTCCAAAAGTATATATTTAAAAGAAGTTCATAATTCCCGACGAATAATAATTTTTATAATAAAAAATTATATTCCGTCGGAATTTATTAATTTTTTTTTCTTACAAAACATATGTTTTCTAAATAAATTTCCGACGGAATATAACTTTTTATTAGAAAATTACAATCCATCTTATTTTTTTAAAACATATTTTTTTGGAAGGGAAAAGAATAAAAAAGAGTTTTCTTAAATATTTCCGACGGAGTATAATAAAAATCAATTAAAATCCATCGTAAATTTTAATTAATTAACGCTAATTAATTTATTTAAATAAATTAGACCAATTTTGTGACGGATATGTGACAGTATTAAATAAGTAAAAAAATCCGTAACAAATCCGTCGGAAAAGTTGTAGAAATAAAACTTTATTTTATTTTTAAATTCAGTGACGGATTTGTGGGGGATTTGTGACGGACGTCGACAAAAGTTGACTTTTCTTAATTATACAGAGCTCTGAAATCTGAAGAGTTTTACTTCAGAGTTATTTCAATAGTACAAGTCCAAGTCTAAAGTCATTCTTCAGAGTTATACTTAAGAGTTATTTCAACAGTACAAGTCTGAAGAGTCGTTCTAAATTTACCGCTAAGTTTAAATTCAATTTACTGATATAGTTTTATTTCTAAATTTAATTTTATTTTAGGGTTAACTTCTAAATTCAAGTCTGAATAGTTATTCTTCAAAATCATTTCAAGAGTATAAGTCTGAAGTAGCATCTTTCAATAATCATTCATATCTGTAAGATAAGTTTTTGACATAATTTAAATTTTCAAATTACCCTATGTAATACACAGGATCGAACCTAGTTTATTGTATGTATAGATATAACATAACAAAGTTGTGCAATGAGTAAATTGTAAATTTTATAACCATGCTTGTGTAATGAAGCAATATACAAGTTTATGCCTTTAAAGGGTGGAGAGGTTTCCTTAAAAATGTCAAAAGCATGCCTTCCACCAACTTAATAAATAGAAAAAAGAACATAAAGCAAACAACATCAAAATTGAATAGCAAAATAACATGTTGATGTTGAACATCTCATATAACCTCCTACAAGCATAACATTCTCTGATGAATCACATCTTTCTGGGCTTCATCTCAATACTTCATAGCAATATTCGCTAACGACGAGCAAGTCCCCACGAGAGCACTGATGATGCCCACCACAACGATGGAAATACTCAACCCAATCTGTGTCCAAATCCCATCAACAAACCGTCAAAAAGGACATATTCACTTGTGAATATATATATATATATATAAGAATACTGTTTTGATCATCTGCAAATTACCTGTGTAGTTGTTGCCTTGCTCCCTTGAATTCTCAGAAAGCACAGAGCTGGCATTACAATTGCCTGAGATCAAGAGTTTTCGTTTCAGTAGATATGGTTGTATTACAGATAACAGACAATCGCCTTGTTTATGCATGAATATCCAAGGAGGGGTAGGTTCCTTAAGAAGCCAACCTCATTTTCATTGAGATATTCATGATGAATAATATTATAGTCGATTCCTTAAGCATTGATCAATCTAATTTTCTGAGTCTGGCATAAGTTTAATTTAAATAATTCAAATGTGGGATGCTTACCACCATGACACATAGAAGTGACCCCATCAAAGCCATCACAGCACCTGCAATGGAAACATACAAGATTCAGTTTATAAAATTTACACCATACTGCTAGAGCAGAAGACATCCCAACTTCCAGCAATTTTCACTCTCTTGCTGTATACAGTAGATGCATAGCTTCAAATTGTCCATCCACCTATAATTGAGCAATAGCTTTTTTACTTGTATTATTTCCCTCTTGGGTAATTTTAGCCCCTTCTTGTAAACACTTTATGTCTGTCTCACTTCTTCCTCCTAGTATATGTACTTGTTATCTTCAGGACCCTTGAAGTCACCAAAATGCCTATGTACTTGTTATCTACAGGACCACATGGGATTAGTCGAGGTGTGTACAAACTGGCCTCCCGGTTACCCAAATATATATGGGCTAATCTAATGAGAACTCCATATACTGTGATAACCGTGAGAACTTTTACCTTAAGGTATTGTTTCACATAATCTTCTTCCTATGTAAGGCTAGCATTTAATGTATTGATGAATATATATATATTTCACAATATGTTTGCTTCATATGTTTTGGTTCACAATGTAAAACATATATATGTTAATCAACATTCTAAATCCTAAAACATCAAATGAAATAGTATATGACGCACTAGTTCTCAAGTTTATCACAATTTCATAGGTTCTCAAAAGAAGGGTCCCCTTCGATATATGTGTGTGTGTGTGTGTGTGTGTGTTTCCGTGAAGCTTCTCGATACCAGAGAAAAACTTCAAGATACTTGTTAGGATGCTCAAGCCTCTACCAATTACTAATGGACCGGTTGCACACTCTGTTAGTGCAGTTGGCCAATATAATCATACTCTTCATGCTACCCTGCTTAGTAATAAACACATTCTTTCCCCCATAAAAGCATTTACACCTCAAAGCAAACTTGATGTTAATCAAGGATGCCTCCTGTCATGAATCGAGTCATTTGAAGAATTGTATGGCGCTTAAGTGCCCAACCTTACCTTAGGGATAAAAATAACCAAATATGGACAAGTCTTGAGTGATTATTAAGGAATTCTACAACTCCATCCATCCCAAAACAGAGTCCAGTTGAGTTCTAAGGGTCAAACAAGTACCTTCGAGGGTAGAAGTCAGATCTGCATATACCCCAAACCCCCCTGAGCAGACCCCACCTCCTTGCAGGATATATCAGGATCATTTGCTTTTGTTTGGTTTTAAGCATGGCATTTTAACATTGTTGTTTTACCAGGACTAATCTGTATAAGACGTGTATAAGAATATTAATGCAAGAAAACTGAAACAAAATAATAATGTAATGGAGGCTTTACCAAAGAAAGGAATAACAATTGCAACGCAGGCGGTAGAGAGGACTAGTGCTGTTCTGAGAAGAGCGTAGGACCAAGTAGTACGTGAGACACTCACAGGTAACAGCTCTTCTATAGCACTCGCCAATGGGTTCATAAGCAGAGCATATGTACGAAATGTTAAGGAAATACAAGGATATAGAAACTAGAAAGTTGAAAACTAGTTATAAAAACAATTAGGTGTCGTTTGGTTCGTTGGAATCCGACAGAATTTGAAGGAATTGTAACGGCTAATTCCATTCATCCTTTGAGTTTTGGTAAGGAATTCGAATTCCACATATGGTGAATGTAAATTGAGAAAAACTATTATGCTCTTATGTTTACTCCATTCCATCCCACCTCGATGGTTATCACCACCATCGGCCCTTACCACAGCCACCTTCACCCCCACCACCACCGTCACTACATTCAACTAGTACCATCACCACCACTACCACTGTTATATTCAACGAACCAAAAAGACATATTCAAATTCTTTCGACTGATTCCATTCTAATTCCTGCCAACTGAAATGCATGTTCAAATATGATTAAATTCCATCCATTTCCTTTTACAGGTTCCAATTCCCACAGATTTCATTCTGTGAACCAAAAGCCACCTTATTTCCCTGGTAGGTAATCATAAGAAGGATATTTGGTGAACGGGTTGATGACCTGCAATTTGTAAACATATATTAAATCTCGTACCAGATTTAAGAAGCGTAGATTTTCCTATGTCTTCAAACTTTTAACTTAAGGGTTCAAAATCGACACTTACCACTATCCACAAAGCAAGTTTTGAAGCAATTGCATCATCTGGCATGTTTAATGTTATTTGGGACAAAGTGCTTTCACCGAACATAAGAAACCCCATGATCGCAACAGCCCCATACATTAACACACACAATATAAAACTGAAAAACACGAAAATGGAAGCTATTAGATCCCCAAAAAAAATGAAATGTTATAGCGAATGAACACCGATGCCGATTAAAAGCAAAGATGTTTGATTCCATACCTTATCATCATCGCCTTGCTAAACTTGGTCTTGTCAGCCATTGACTGATATATGTTCGGAAACACAGAATGCCCGGAGTAGCAAAAAACATAGATGCCCAATGCAAACGGGATGCCACTCCACTTAACGGCCGGACCACTTTCATGAAACCCGACATTTACAGTCCCAAGGTAAAACACACAAAAGATAACAGCAATCGTGGCCAATACACCAGTAGCTGCAAACAAATTTCATTTGTTCATATGACTTCATTTTTCAAATAAACAGAACAAATAACTATATAAAGTACCCGAAAGATACGAGATTACTCGGACATTCTTCAACAAGACAATGGGTACAAGAATGACAGCAGTGAGAACCGCAAACAAGTGAACGGAATCCAGACTGAAACCACCCAGATTCAAGGACACTCCCGGGAACAGACTACTAAGATTGTCTCCTTCAAGTATAATGAATTCCACACAATATGACTGCGACCATCGAAAACACAAGGAGGAATATGCTTCAGAGGCAATAAGAGACAAAAGCGCAATCACATTACATTGAAATCAATTTTCGTTTTATGATGGTTTTAGTTTAGTCACAAGGAAAGTGGGGTGCAGAGACTTGTAGTGGGAAAAGTCCATACGTCCCCCAACTACAACAAAAATGGATTTATAGTACGCTAGAAATGTCTAGGAATCCCATGAAACTATTTTAGAATTTAAGTTTATAGGACCAAATAATAAAGTGTCCTATCTAAGAGTGTTAAATAAGTTTATAGGATGTTTTTGGATGTCTTAACAAGTTTTTTAGAACATTTTTAAATAAAGTATTGTATTAGCTTGAAAAATTGTCATATAAAAAGATGTGTCAAAAGTGTCCTATAAAATAGCTAAAATGATGCTTTATTTAAAAAATGTACCAAAAAACTTATTAAGACGTCCAAAAGTGTCCTATAAACTTAGTACAACGCTTTTAGATATGATGTTTTATTGTTTAATTCTATAAATGTAAGACGTATAAAGTGATCTATTTGGACAATTAGACATTGTTGGCATCCTATAAACCCGATTTTATTGTAGTGTCTCCTTAATTCAAAAGACAAAAAAGTTTAAAATATAAAGATGGTCTAAAATGGATAGAGACAAAGAAATCATTCCAAAACCGTTGAATCATTCTTTCACTTACATAGAGCTCCGTATACAAGATGATCTGCAGCAGTACCAAAGAGTTATCAGAAGTCGTATAAATCACATAAATCCATCCAAATGAAATGACCACATCAACTTACAGATACGATAAGGCGTCCGTATTTCCCAAATGCAGCTTCTCCAATATCAGGATAACTAAGGATGCCATCTTTGCTCTCAAAGCAATGTCTCATGAGTGAAGTAGTATAGCAACATATGATGCCAAAAAGGAGTAGCAATCCCAACCCCGCCCAGCCAGCTTGTGCAATTGTATATGGTGTAGAAAGAAGCCCAACTCCGACCATTACATTCACAGCTGTTCAAGCATAAGCTTTAAATACAAGGTTTTCTTTGTGACAATATTGAAAAGAACATGACAAGGACTTGTTGAAAATAGTTGAGCACATATTAATCTTTATAATGAAATAGGGCCTGTTGTTAGCAGCTTAATGAGTTTAAAGGGACTCACAGCTTATTCAGTCAACTATACATGATTCTTGGCAGTGGCTTAATGATAAATAGAAAGTAGCTTATTCAATATGCTTCTAGGTGGAGCTTTACGCAGAAAGAAAAGGTTTTTCCAAGCATGTCCATTCCAATTAAAAAACATGCTTCTTCCATCTATTGAAAAGCCCCCTCTCAAACAAAAATATTCCCAAAAATATACAGATAGATTAATCCACACAAATGGCTTTATCCATACAGGACTTAACAGAAAACCAACCAAACAGCGCCTTAGCCGTTAATTGATGCACTGACGGTTGGCTATAACATGATCCATAGTGAGCATGGCTATATCCAATAAACTATAAGTCATGATTAAGGGTTCATTGTGGTGCTTCTCACCATTGAATACAGTCTGAGTAACGCTGCATCCATGGCTAATTGGAAGTTCTCCGAGTTGCTCGTGTAATGAACCCTTCCCTGACCATGTTGAAATCTTCCTCGAGATCTTCTCCAAATCCTCTTTGCTATAAAGCTTTTCACATTCAGACAGCAACCGAGCCTTTGCATCAGCATCGAAGTTACTTTCAATACCAATATCATACAATGACGAATATATAATAGCAGAAGGAGACTTAAGGAGCCCAAAATTTGGTGTTGCTGTGATTGAATATGAATCGATTGTCTGCCTGAAATCAAGAAAATAGCATTTGAATATGCCCCACTCATTAATCAACTAACTATCAAATCATTTTTACAAATATTAAACAGGATTAAGTGGGCTATGAACAACTAATCATCTTGAACCTAAATACAAAACAATCTGACATAAAACCTAATTATGCTCCTAATAGCAAATTGGGTCACTTGTTGCCCAATCCACTATGAAATTAAGAAAGCAAATCAAGATTTTCTAGCCTTCTTCTAGATCAACTAATCTGTGTAACCTGGAGATTGGAAAATATGCATGTTTCTTGAATCAGACTTATTCCTTGCAATCAATTTCTTCAACTTGAATCTAATGTGTCAAATCCTTAACATAATAACTATATTCATACATGAACATGAATGCACAATATTCAATTGTTCCATCATTATTTAATAGAGCACATGGAGTCATGGGTATGTAAGAGGGCTTAATCAAATGAACTTTTGCTTTAAGCTATAGTTTTACATGAATTTTCCCCCTCTACGTTAAATTTATTACAATCTTAATGATATATATAATTTGTAATAATAAAAAAGAGAAATGAAATAGAAACAGAACAAGGTGAATCCAGTCTCCAGAATAAACAATGACAAATCCAGAGCAGCGCCATAGTAGCTTGTACTACGTGCAGTGAAGGTTGTACTTTGCAATCCTCTAGAGACAAGGCTAGCGTAAAACAAGGGAAAAAGAAGGCAAAACTAACTGGTAACTCTGCGGCCATTGACGAGAGGAGAAATGCGAGGAAGACCGTGTAGAATTACGACTACCTTCGTCATCGTCATCACCATCACTGTAATTATCTTCTAAATCATCATATTGAACTTCGTCATCCTCGTTCTCCTCCAAGAAGAAATCACCACCATTTCCTTTGTCTCCCATATTTCAAAGGCAGTTTTGTTGAAAATCCACGAAGATTTAGGGGTTATTAAAACGAATGAAAGTGTGGAGACAACAAAAACCGATAAAACAGGAAAAATTAGGAGTGGCGAAAGATAAGAATGAAGCAAAATGAGGAAAATTATTGAAGATTGTAGTTGTTCCGGAAATGGGAGATACTGGAATGATCGGATTGATCACATGGAAAGAGCTGGTGCTACTTTCAAGACGAATCAAAATCATGCATAGCTGATTCATCAAACTTGTGATAGCTACTTATCGACTCTTGATACGGTGATTCTTTCTTACGTAACTTAATTCTGGTTCTATAAATATCAATCATTTAATTAAAATATCATATCTATGTTATATTATAAAACATTTAACAATTATTTTTAAAAATCATTTTTATATATAAAATATTATTTATTAATATATATTATTTAAAATTCGAGATTACAAGTAAATCATACGTAATTATAAATTATTAAAACTTTATTTTTAAATTCGTGAAACTAACTGCAAATAAACATAATCAAATATAAGATAAATATTTTATTTTAAATATAAAAAATTTAAAATATAATTAAGATAATTATTGAATTTTAACAGAATACTTCATTATTATCATTATAAAAACTTATATTAATATTAAATATAAATTAAATGGTTAATTTAATATTAATATCGATTTATCTTTTTAAAAATTTATATTTTATTCAAAAATAAAAAATTATCGTTTTCTCAAAATCGTATTATATCAACAGGGACAAAGAATAAAAATTATACATTAAAATCGAAATTTATCTCGCTTCATTGAACGAGTACCCTTCTAGTATATCTAAATAGCTCCAACTAATTTAGGTATATCACCTTAATGTTGTGTTCTCGTAGTTGGAGAGAAAAGAAAAGAAATAAAAATAAATTTTTTATTTGTGTTCTCAAAAAGGAAGTAAGAAATAATCTTTCATGATCTTAAAGGGACAGAAAGGGAAAAAAAGACGTCATTTTTACTAATATGTTATTTAAAAATACATCGTTTAGAATGAAATATTGGGTAATTTTAATTTTTTTTTTAAAAGAATTAACGTTTTTCTTTTCATTGTCTTCTCTTTTCTCCCACATTCAGAAGGAAACTTATCGTTATTTTTCATTTTATTTCCTTTCTCTTCTAAAAAGATTTTAAGAAACTTTCCTTCATTTTACCTCCTTTTTCTTTCCTTTCCGTAAAAACCATTTCAAGAAAACGGCATAATTAAATTTGTTATCCTATATTTATATAATAAAAAAGGTAAAAGATGTAGAGAAATCTTAAAATAATTGTTAAGTGAGAGAAAATATTTTTTTTTTATTATATTTATTTGAAATTTTAATACTCAAATAAAAAAATTTACTAAATGTTATAGTAATTTAATTAATGTTGTAATATTTAAAAACGGAGAAATTGTTGAGTTGAATGTATTTTTTTTGAAGATTTTGTTTTTTTATTTTGAAAAGTTTTTGGAGAAATGCTAATGTTTGGACTTTTTTGCTTTGGTAAGCACTAAAATTTTTAAGCCCATTTTTCTATAAGCAGAAAAAAACCAACGTATTTTCAAACTTGAAATAGATGGATGTAATACGGTAACTTTTTAGAGATTTCTTAATGACACATAGGAATAGGAATAGGAATAGGAATAGGATTTCTTAATAAGAAATTATGATGGTTGCGAATATAATTTTTTAATAGAAAATTAGTTTTTGATAATTATTAATATGATATCAGTACTTTTTATAAGAAGTTATAAGATATTCTTTTTTAATAAAAAATTATTTTATGTTGCATCATTCTTTTTATGTTTTGATACAAATAATACGATCATTACAAATATTGATTCATTAAATTATATTTTAATAAATTTGAGAAAATATAATTTATGTCAGAATACAATAAAATATATTACATATAAAAGTATAAACTCAATACATATAAGATTACATCATTGTTCATTTAATTCTTTTTAATGCATAATTATAGACAATTATTTATTGAATCAAACATTTTATAAATTAAAATAAATCATTTCATTTAATTAATTTTACTTTATAATAAATAATTATTTAATTAATAAATTACTTGGTATTAAGTTATTGTAAAAAAAATACTCAATTGTAGTTTCGTTGTTCTTTGATTAAAATATGATGAGCTTTCACTTAAGAAATTGGTTAGCGATGGGAATTATGTTTTTAGCTTCTTCTCAAAGAGTCGTCATATTTAAGTGGTAATTGAGAATTGTCCATATTTATACATTTATTTAATAATTGTAAAATATTAACGGGGTTCCGTTCAGCAAGCTGATTTTGCATTGTCCATGTCCATCCATTTTCTTTGAAAATAGAAAAGTGGATTGGATATATGTGGTTTAAGGGGTTGTCGTGCGCATGAACAACTCTATTACAAGACTTGAGAGCCATTTACCAAATGCTTATTCAGGTAATCGCTTACCAAGTTACGTTACCTCACCGGATGAATATGGTAAAGACCAAGAATCTTACCCGAAAAGAGCGAGACAAAGATCAAGAGTCTTACCCGGTAAGTGAGGGCGACGACTCTTACCACGTTAAGCACTTACCAGGTAAATTGTCGTTTTGGTGGACTAATATCTTACCCAGAAAGTAAATAATAGTGTCAAATTTTATTGCTAAGCACTTACCGGGTAAGTATTTGATAAAAATTCTAAAAACATGTTATTAATTATGGGGTTATTTACAAAATATTCCAAAAGTTTTTTAAATATATTTTTGAAAACCTGTAAAATCACCCACAAACCAAAATGTTGAATTTAGCAACGGATTTCGGAGAACATGAGTTCTCACAACCATGTCGTTGCCCAAGTAACAGGATCTGTCAGGAAATCATCAATAACCTTTTAATAAAGCATGTTTTAAATTTTATTTTTACAAGTACAAAATTGTTTTTGTAGCGTATTACCACTTACCAATGGTTTTGTTTGTCAATAAAGCTCTCACTCTAATTTGATAACCACTTGGATAGTCGATAACCGGTCTATATTTGTAATAACTATTTATTTATCATGTATGTTCCCAACTAAGGGGATGTTTGGGATTTTGCTTATTTGAAACAACTTATACTTTTCTATAGAAACACTTATCAACTTATTATAAGTCACAAGGGTTTAACTTCTTCAAAAACTCTTTATTACCGGTTTGGCGCCGGTATAAGTTGTTTATCCAAATACTCAAAAATGCTTATTACCAGTGCCACACCAGAATAAGTCAATAAATTGTTTTTATAAGCAATCTCAAACACCCCTAAAATACCCATAGCCATTAGCCTAGCAAATAAGCCATTAAGTGATACCATTTCCTCAAAGCATCACATGTGGTAATAATGGTTACATATTAAAGAGTCAAGGATCCTAATTCAAAAGAAAGTAACAACTAATACTCTTAAACATATCGATCGATGATCCTTACCTTATTAATCGAGCAAATCCGTCATCGCGGTCTTCTTAAACGCATCCACCTGAACCAGCTGTGCAGCCAACGATTTGCTTGGAAACACATTATCGGCCTTCATTCGCTCTCTGAACCCATAAGCCGGAATCTTGGCATTTATATAAGCCTGCAAAAGAGAATTATACTGCCTAAATCTTGAAACATAACCATCTTGTCTCATCCTATGAAATATTTTCTCAGAATTATGCACATCTCCTCTTTTAGAATACTGATCCAAAACCATCATATAAGTTGAAAACAATGGCTTTGTTTGAATCTGTAGTGAACCCTTCTTCAAAATCGAATCGGCTTTCTCAACCTCCCCGGATTCTAGATACAGTTTCACGATCGCATCCAAAGTAAACGGCCCGATTCGACAACCACTTTCACCCATCTGTTTCACAAGATTCTGGCCCTTAGATAACATCTTGTTATTTGCATAAACCCTCAACATAGAAGTATAATGTCTTGCTGATAATGTTTTCCATTTTTTGAACATTTGGTCAAAAACTGCTTCGGCTTCCTCAACTTTCTTTAGTTTTCCCCAGGCGTCAATGGCGCTCATGCACTCCTCGAGCCGGGGATCAGGCCTGCAAACCTCCCAAACTCGCTTAACATCATCCGCACTTCCAAGTAATCCGTAAATATGAAGCAAAGATGAACAAGCCATTCGGTTCTCATTGAGGTTGTCTCCTTCCATCTCTTTTAAGACCATTTTGGCTTTTTCTTTGAGACCCCCATGCACATATTGCCGAGCTAAAACCGCTTGCAACCTTAAATCGGGTTCCAACCCCTCGGATTTCATCGTTTCAAGAATTTGCTCCATCCCAGAAACGTCGTTCGACTGACCTTTAGTGTCGATCAATAATCTGTAAGTGAAAAGTGATGGTTTGACGTTTTCTTTTTCCATTAACAACAAGACGTCAGCTATTTTTCTCTTGTCGGTTCTTTTGTACAAAAGAAGCAACTGATTGCAAGCGAAAGCCGTAACTGGCAGTTTCAGGTCTTTCATTTTGTTGAAGACTTTCTCAGCTTTTGCTGTTTGGGTGTTGAGAACACAATTGGCTAAAAGCGTTCGGTAGACCACCTCCCCTTTAAATGATTCTGGGATCTTCTCGATGTAGCTTTCTGCTTGCTGTAAGCCACGGATCTTGGCGATTAAATCAACACGAGAAGCGTAATCTCGCTCGCCAAATTCTACCGTCTCCTGTGATTCCAACCATTCTGACAACTGCAAAAATGAAGTAAAGCAATTGATGAGTGAAAGTAAATATTACAATAAGAGTAAAATGTATCAAAATGCAATAAAGTTTGGGTTAGTTCCTATTTAGTGTAACGAAGAATTGTTTTTCCTCAATCAATGAAACAAAGTTTCAAAATTTCTTATCTTTTAATCATTTTTGACAGGTTGGCTTTGGTTTGGTTTGGTTACTGACTGTGTCATTTGAAAATGGCTGGACGCATTGACATGTAAATCTAAAACAAACCAAACGAACCCAATAAATCCCACTCAAAAAGTAGGGTCTGGGTGGGGTAAGAAGTAATCAGACATTACCTCAACCACTAGGATTGAGAGGCTGTTTCCATGAAGACCCCTGACTTGTGTACACCGCAAGGTGTGTGCAAAAAGGCAATAAAATAGGTAATATAACAAATAATCACGAAACAACTGTGCACATGATTCAATGGTGTAGAAACAGACAAAATAATAAAATAGAACATGTACTACAAGTAGACCTAATGTATATGACAACTTAAACATGTAGGTTTAAAGTCGGATCAGGTCCTATTAGCCCATCTATCCCACCCAAAGAGCCTATTTGTCTACCCTCTACCCTCCGCCCAAAATCCTTGTCTCCAATAACTCCTATCAGTGGTAATGTCCTCAAAAATGCCTAAAGTTGCCATGTCCATCCTCAGCTGGTCATCCCGCATTGACATGTCAACCTACAAAAACTCAATTCAATGCAACTCATACATGTTACCTTTTCTGAATATGCACATGTCTACAATCCGACCAAATGGCCACTGGCCAAGTGATATCCTGGTAATGGTAGAACCTAGCCTCCCTAAAGGTCAAGGGTTCAAGCTAACCAAAGGTGTGGAGTGTGCATGAGTATTTGCCGTATATAAGTATTATATACTTCAAAAGAAAATATGCCTGCAATCAGAATGCCAAAGTAAACATGCTATAATGCTACTTTTAGCACAATTAACAAAGTGCAACCTTAACTTGCAAACAGCTCAATGCTCTTTAACATGTAGTGTCTAACATAAATTGAAAAATGAACACAGTTTGATGTCAGGAGAAATAACTTGAATGTGCATTTGTATTTAGCAAGTCAGCAATAACCATTTTTGTTGGAAGAATAATGCATACAAAGATAGTATTAGAATATGTGGAACCCACCCCAAGATCTCTCTCCAAAAGAGCCCTTGTGAATAAAGGGAGCTTCCAACATATATAGAGAAGTAGTCCAAGTCTAGCCGATGTGGGATTCTAACAGATAGATATACACATGCATGCAAGCATACATATTATACACAGATCATATGTATATGTATACAAATATACACAAATAGCCAAAGGAGTTGGCCTAGTGGATAAGGTTATAACATGTCTCTCTATGGGTGCTATCAATTCCTTTGGGGCCACAACCGTTGGCTGAAAAGCTTAAAGTTTGCCTAGAGGATGTTATACATGGAACCATGGACTAGTCAGGCCAAATATCATGGTATTCAAATACACAGGCACACACACACACATATACATACATGCACAGAGAAAGAGTGAGTGAGTGAGAGAGAGAGAGAGCAATGGTAAGCAGCTGTTCATGCGTCTGTTTTTTGTTCGAGTTTGGGGCCACACTCGTTAGCCAGAGCTTAAAGTTTGCCTGAGGATGCTTTACATGGACTAGTTGGGCCAAATACCATAGTATTCAAACATATACACACGCTCACACACATATACATACATCCATCCCATTTTTAAATGCAACATTTCCATTCTGGATAAAGATTTACTACGAAATTTGTTCTTTGGCCAATCAAAATCATTACAAAATATTGATAAGAATTGGTTTTGTTCCAAAAGACTCCTCCATATTGTTCTTACTGAGAGGGAATTCAAAAATAGTTGGCTTAAAGTCAGCTAATTAAACTACACATCAAGTCAAATATTACATTTATTTTGGGAAGAAAAGAGTGTTATGATACTAGATTACACATCCAAATTGGTTCAAACTCATTGTAACAAAGTTTGCAAGACCCCTTTCCTGTATCCTTTTGGTCCTTCTCAAAAAACAAACTCGTCAGCAAGCTAGCTTAAAATAATCATAAATAATAGAGAAAACAAAAGAGGCTAACACATATGTCAAATAAAAAATTCACTTAACAGAATGCAATTAGAGGGGAAAAGGCCAACTAAAACCAACATGAATGCATAATATGGTTGTGTTGAGGCACCTGCAAAGCTTTCCCATACATCCTTCGCCTTCGGAGTTCAAGCATTGTACGTGATATCTCTATCCTAGACAAATCATTTCCTTCTTCAAGCCACTTGTCCAGATTTTTTTTAGCAGTCACTGATGTAGAGGCTATAAGAGCCTTAAACAATCCTGAAGAAGCTCTTTTTCCTCGACCATTACTTTTTGCAGCCACTTTCTCAGTATCTGATAAATCCAATTCAGTTTGAGGTTCTTCCACAGCAATATCGCCACCCTCATCTTCAGATTCAGACAAGTCAGTTTCAGAAAGCATCTCATTATCACTTTCATGCTCCGTATTCTTTCCTTGATCCATGTTGCTAGTAGCATCAAGCTCAGAAAAATCATACTTCAAGTCATCATCTTCCTCTCCACTGCTCTTTGTCCCAGCTTGTGATGAAAACCTATGCTTCCCCATAAAAGAACTTTGAGCACCATGTGCTCGGGAAGAAAATCTCTTTAGAAGTAGGGATCTATCAGATATATATGGTGGAGACTCAACAAACCCAGTGTTGTCCATGTAACTGGAACTCGATATTTCAAGTTTAGCATAGCAAGCACGAAAAGCTGCTGATGAAAAAGGTTGGGACCTGGATAAGATGAAGCATATAGCAACCAAGATGACAGAAAGAAAAGAAATTAGATATTCAGAGAGAAACAAACTGCCTGTTTCATATAAAATATTGATAAACAAATTTCATATATAAACAAACACAGCTGGAAACCAGGAAGGAAACCATATTAAACTTCATTGATCCAGACATGGAGTAATCCTATCCAGAAAAACTGGAGATTTTGACGTAATTTAGCAGAGATATCAAGTAATTGATATCTAAACTCAAATATATAGAAGACTATCTCAACATTTCCCATAATAATGCAAGAACACTACAATGCTCTTTTTACAGATTCTACTAGAAACCCAAAAACTTTCAGTATGAACTATACACATAATCAGCTTAATCACCAATAAATCATTTAACCACATACATTATTCATATGAACAGTCCAACATAGTACATAAATATCAAAGAGACGCACATCAAATCTGTGTTTCCTGAAATGTTAAATACAACTAATCACAGCATCACAAAAAAGAAGCCATACAAAACAAGAATTTAACAAAGCAAAAAACAGTGAAATCTAGCATCTTTTAGTCGTTTTATAAAATATTAGTTTTAAACAAATAGATACTAAGTCACGGAAACGAGCCCTAGCCATGACAAATTTGGTAATGCAAGAGCATAAACCAACAACGCTTCGTCTACATCGCTCAAACCCATTTCAATTAAACTACTTAAGTTAGTAATGCCAGAAAACAAGGTTTCCCACCAAAAGTACACTAATTCCATTGACAAATCCCTATTACAATTTGCAGTTATCATTTCAACAACCAGAGAGGTGAGCTAGATTAAACGCGTGAATAAAAGAGTGAATGGAGAGAGCAAATTTTTACTTGATATGGACGGAGGCCTTCCTGATCGCCCACATAATGGAATGCGAGTAATGAGATCAGAAATGGAGACGTTATACCAGTAGAGAAAACAGAACCCAAGAACACACAAAACCCTTCTTGCTCTCCTAAACCCTAATGATGGAGCTCCATTGTGTACACAACCGAATTTCTAAAATCCCCCTGCCGTTTCCGATAATGTTATATTAGCTCCTAAGGTTTTTCATAATTCCAATTTGGTCCCTGAACTTTGTTGTATCTAATAGGTTCGTTCCTGACATTTTATAGGCCCTAAGAGAGATGTAAAAATGGTCTCTCGGATAAGTATGAAAAAGGTGTTCAATACTAATAATTCATAAAACCTTTTTCCAAGTATTACTATATTTCTAAATTAATATTATCTTATCCTTTTTACATAGCATCATCAATCCATCCACCATCAAAAAGCATCATATGATATACCTTTAATATATAGATTGATATCATTTAAGGTCACAATATTGACCATTCGAAGTAATACTCTATATAAATCAATATAAATTAGTTGGGTTCCATCTCACCTAATGTTAATGTTTTTTATCACCGTTTAAAACTTTTAGGTTTAAAACAAACTTCTTCATAACCATTAATCTTAGAATTAAAAGCTTATGTTGGTTATAGTTTGAGATCTTATTCTTGTTTTAGAGATAAGAGGGTATTTGTGATTCGTGCACTAAATATTAAGCAACAAGGAGTCAATAATGTAAGTAAAAATACGGGTAAATTTTGAAATTTTGAAATTTTGAATATAGATATAAGTTATATCATCTCATATGGTTGGTAATTCTTGTCAAAGCGTAGGAGCTTTCTTAGACGATGACAAAAAATCTACTATATTCTAATACAAATAGAACATGCGGATGGAATAATTAAAACAGTCACTATGAGATGAATGATGAAGAATATATAATCGTTTCCGATGTAAGTAATTTTAGACTTTGGTACTAGATAAAAAACTATAAGTAATACTATAAAATGAACGACCAATTAACTTCTTACATATTTCTTTTCTAATGTAATTGATTAATACATGTTTAGGCTCTTAATATAATATGAAATTCTTTTTTGGTTCTATTAGATGCTAAAAACTTGTGTCTTTTGTATTTACTAGTTCTTTTAACTACTACTATATACTAAAAAATATGGCTCGTGTTTCTTGTGGGCCATGGGCGTACAGTCGGCCTGCTCCCCCAGAGACAGTCCTGGTATCTAATTTAAGGGTGTTTGCAGTACGGTTTAGAGGTAAAACCGCATTATGAGATTTGGGCATTTTTCCACACCACAAACCAAACTGCACATGCCTTAAACTATAAAATATCAGGTCGCGTTGTAAAGTAATAATATAAAATTTCACAGTTTTCATACTTGTATGTAATAAATCGTGTTTCCACATAACATATAACATGAAATTTGTACATAGCACCCACGTCGGGGCTACAATTTGGGTCTCATTCTATAAAACACTACAACCGTCTAAAATTGACTACAAACTTTTTGTTAATCAATTTCTTCGTACTCAAAAGGATATATTCTCATAACAAGAAGATCAAAAGCAGACTTCATAAAATTCATCAACAATCTTCGCATATGAATCCGCAATTAAAATTGACTCACACTTTTCCTTTACCTTCTTAAAGCTGCCTCCCTGAAATGCATGTTTTTTAAGACAAAATGAGGGTTAGACCATATGGTCTAGTGTGAGTGCATATTGTACAAAAATATTGCAAATCAACCTTTTAAAATGTTCACCGATAATAAACTTTTCAAATAATATCATCCAACCACAAATAAGATTAATAATTGGTTCAACATCTCCGCCAAATACACGTTCGCTCGACTGACTCAGTACCACCACCAAATACACCTTTCTATTACATATATATTGGCCAAATTGTCCAACACTACTACCACATACACCTCTTTGTTACCTATACGTTGGCAAATGTTAGCTCTGTTTTTCATCTCTTGTAAAAGTATAGAAAAAGTACTGCAAGTCTTGACAGAAGCTTATCTTCCACAGAAGACAACAGAGGACTGACGACAGAAGCCTAATATTCGAGCAAGTAAAGTGTGACAGAACCTCTGATGTCTCTCACAGAGGTTCTGGAAAATGGTCCTCTGACAATAAGATTAAGCAAGTCAATTACAGCAGAGCCTCTGAGATGGCTCATAGAGGGTCTGCGGTTTCGTCTTCTGTGAAGATCATGTTCTACTGTTTCTTCAAAGGTTGTTAGCTGTTTGTGCTTCTCACGTGACTAGGTCTTTAATCGACTTTATTTGGACGGCTTAGATGATTTCACGCGTCTAGATCTTGTCAGTAAGGTCGTTAGGAGCTGGTATAAATAGCGGCTAAGGCCTTTGTATTCAGTGTGCTTCCGCATTGTAATCGTCTTATTTTCAATTGAATGAATTGAAAAACCTTTAAAGCTATTTGTAAAACTCAAAATTTGAGAATAAATAATTTATCTTTATTTACAATTTCTATTTTTAATTATATTAAATAGAAATTTAATAATAAGTCTAAAATCGGGCCAAA